TCAGAAGTTTACTACGGTTAGTTCCTGTGGCCAACTTCCCGGAATTTTGTTAAAAATTCGAGCGATGAATCCATCAGGGCATCTGTAGTATTAAAAAATTCGCAGTTGTAGATTTTTCCTTTCCTTCTTACCATTTTTTTCTTTCCTATTTTTTTATATATATAAATTGTAAAAATGCAGATAAAGCTTTAGTGTTAATAAATAATCATAAAAAATTAGGGTGCTACCACTTTTCTTAACCTTAAAGTGTCTGTGATGGTTATAGAATTATTATGTTTCCAGAGAGAGAAACGGGAAAATTAGCAATGTTTTTGCCAGGATATAAGCCACGGATCTTACGATTATAAGCTGGACATGCTATCAGGAGCACAACGAGAGCAGGCGGTAAGTTTTCCTCACTTATTTTGGGCAACTGAGAGATTACGAGATGCAGTCGGTCAAATTAAGATGATGACAAAGTATCATTCACCACATTTCAGTTACGTTTGACTGTAGAGACATCTGGCCATTTGATTCGAGAATCGTGAGAAAGCAGCTATACCTTTGTCTGGAGTCAAACCAAAGATTTTCAGGCTGCCAGCGGGAAGTGCTGCCGGTTTTAGGACGAAAGCAAGCTTTAGGAAAGCTAAAATTCCTTATAATTTTAGGGATCCTCTTTTAGTTGTTTTGTTAATTTTAATAGAAGGCAAAATTGGTATTGTGTTAAATATAAACCTTTTTTTTTAAATTTAATGTATAGAGATGTTGTTAAACTTGGTATAAATCTTCTTTTGGTTTTGTTTTCAAAATTAAGTTGGATCATCTGAAAAACAAGATTCTTTGAACCTCAAAAATGTGATTCAGAATCAGTAAATAACTTTATAAGGTATTTCTCCCACTTTCCTGGCGTGCCTTCGTGGTGTAGTGGTTCAGCACGCTGGGCCGGTATTCCAGAGGTCCGTGATTCGATTCCCGGCGAAGGCGCTGCTAATTTTTCCTCTCTCTGGCTCCAAAAAATACCTAATGTCTCTACAGTGGCGCCCGAACTAAAAGGGTATTGGATGAGGTTTCTCCACACCCAGGATTTGGCGATTGGGTCCCCTGAAAACCCCAGTCGCCCTTTAAAAAGGGAAATATATAAGGTATTTCTCCCACTTTCCTAGCGTGCCTTCGTGGTGTAGTGGTTCAGCACTCTGGGCCGGTATTTCAGAGGTCCGTGGTTCGATTCCCGGCGAAGGCGGTTGCATATTTTACACCTTTTCTGTTTCCAATTAACCTAATGACTACAACTTAATATAAATATTGTGGAGTTATGGGAGCTAGAGAACACTCCATGTTAACATATTTTAAATATCTTAAGAAATGTAATGTAAAATCTTATTAAAAACATTTAAAGAGTTATCTATTAAAATGAACATAGATATTCAGCTGTGCTTTCTTTTTAAATCTGACAAATGGTTTTGGGCGATTGTCGTGAAATGGCTGCTTGTGGATTATTTTATCTTTAAAATGATTTTATTGTAATCAGTAAAGAATTGTAATCAATAAGAAGTGTAATTTGTAATCAGTAAAGAAGATTCCAGCTGTTACAGGAGAATTTATATCCAAAGAAAACGAATCAAAATTAAAAAAATACCCTTGAAACTTGCACGTTTAAATTAATGCAAATTCCTAAAAGTAATTTTACATTGGGAACATTATCCTTTATTTACGTGAAAGAAAACTCTCTGTATATTTATTAACTAGTGTTGCATTGTAAGTAACTGTTAACACATGTTCACCTGTTGTATCAATGTTGTGACTCTTATAGAGAATTTTATGCTAATTAACGAATTATTATGATTTAAATCTTGACTACAACTTCTCCTTTCCGTAACCCTCACCAGGATGCAGATTAGATTAAAAAGTATTTAACTCGAGGGTTTGAATATTTTAGATATAGAGCTCTTGGTAGTAACATCTGCTGTTTACGTTCTATAGCCTAGCTCTGAGAGTGAGTATTCCGGCTTTAGCCATTCTGCTAGCCGACGTTAATATGCGCCATTTAAAATATTGACCCAACTTGGGTAAGCTAATTTGTATAGTCGTCTACTGCGATATTTTAAATTTTAAATTTGAAACATGTTATTTTAAATACTTCACCACACTACACCACACTTCTCCATATCCATATCCATATTTTAAATACTTGTAAGTAGCGGAGCTTATTTGTACGCACAAGTTATGCTTTCTGTTCATTTTAAGAGTTAAGGATTATTTAAATCTTCGCAGGTTTGTCATAACGTTTCAGACAAAATGGCAATGCACTTACAGGGTGGGAAAGACTTTGAGTTAACTCAACCCAACTAAAACCCTATAATCTTAATTAAGTTTTAATAAATTTCAACTTTGTTTATTGAATTTGTAATTTACTTTGTTGTTTTTTTGATGGCTAAGCTTCGTTATTTATTTAGTTTAAGCCAGTTTAGAGGTTAACCGAACAAGTGTTCTTCTTTCATCATTTCAAAATACATTTAAGTTTAAACATTACAAGAACATGAAATGTAGAAAATAAGGATAAAAATAAAGAATATTACTCAGTGCATATTCTTAGAAGGGAATATTTTTATATATAAAAATTCAATATCGAAGTAGCTATAAGTGGTTAGCTAGCTCAGATGAAATTGTAATCTTCGGCTTTGCATTATCGTTGCCAACTTTTAAATTGTTATACCAGTGAGTAGTGTGAGCCAACTTCGCTTTAAATCAATTGTGTAGCACTTGGATACTAGACTTAGTTTTAAATTTGAATTTACCGTTACTTTAAGTTATACCGCCACAAGTGGTTGCTGATTAGTAAGCCCGAGTCGTGCATTTATGTTCCAGTTCTGACTTTAAAAAGTTTTGTTTTAAAACTTACTTAAGACTTTGCGGTTCTTTTTAGACGAAGCGAAAATCACTTTATGTCTGTTAGAAGTTTGGACTTAGTTTATGCTAGCAAAGAAGAGTGTATAAATTTCAGTAAAAATGCGTTACTATCTATCTATCGATATATATATATAGGAAAGGACAGAATGAAGTCAAGATATAGCTCTCGATATAGTGAGATAGTAGATATAGCTTTTGATGTATTGAGTCGACTATAGTGAACATTCCATTATAGGAGATATAAGTCATTTATCCCAATTTGCACATACGGGAAGCATTGAAAGCTTAAAAGAATGTGTTAATAATGTTACAAGATATTTACTTCCTCCCTCCAGCATGCCTTGGTGGTGTAACGGTAGCACACTCGGCACGTATTCGAGATGTCCAGGGTTCGAGTCCCAGCGAGGGTACTGCACATTTTCACATCTCTTGCTTCAGAAGAAAATCCAGTGACTCTACGAGGGACGCCCGAACTAAAAGGTGGTGGATAATAATTCGTTACCACCAGGATTCCCTAAGCCCCCGTCGCCCTTTAAAGGGGAGAGTGTATAAGGTATCTTCTTCCAGTTTGCCTTCGTAGTCTAACGGTAGCACACTCGGCGCATATTCGAGAGGTTCAAGTTTCGAGTCCTGGCAAGGGCACTGCACATTTTTCACATTTCCTGCTTCAAAAAATTCTAATGACTGTGCAATGTTATAGGTAACTATATATTCATGGTACTGAAGGACAAAGGAAAGTAGTTCTAATCTTTCACATAGAGAAGCTCTTATCCCTATAGGCATCAGTTAGACGTCCAGTTGTGGTGTTTTTCCCAGTACGTTAATACAAGACTCATTTTGGTTTTATGGAGCTCTCTAATTGCTTTTAAATCGATCTTATCAAACTCAAGCTAAGGCTCATGCCTATAAATACTACCTCGGTCTTTCATCTGAGCTATTAAGGTACCATTCTGAATTTTAAAACTTGTTACTCATGGGGCATAATACTCCGTACAATCCAAGTCTTGGGATTATTTAATGGTGGCCATTATATGGAAATTTTACGAGAAAGCTGATTTTGATACTGAATGTGTTTGAAAATGAGAATGAGATGCCGGTAAGAATCTGTTTCAGAAACTGCGAAGCAGGTTCCGATGAAGAATGGAAATAACACCGAAGCTGAAAATTTCATAGAATCTATGAAGCTGTAACGAATGAAATCCCCTTAGATGAAACTGTTATCCACACTACGTAAAGCAGAAAGAAAACGTGATAATTAAGGTAACGAAGATGATAATTAAATCTATGCACCAATAGTGAAAGTGTCACTGGAAGATAGCAAGATTGGGCTGAAGTTCCTACATTGCATAATTCAGAATTGAGAAAAAAAGCATATGTTTTTAGAAAAAGAATGTAGAACGTATTCATTAAAGGTGTTTCTAAAAAACACCACCCATAAGACTATTTTTATGCCATTTTAAGCTAATGTAAAACTTATTTTATTTATTTAATTTAATGAATATGTATTATATATATTACTTCTTAGCTACTACAGTTCCTTAAACAGTGTTCCATTTAGTTCATGTTAAGAGAAGAAGCTTCGGTTTTAACGAAATTGGTATGTAAGGAATGAAATATGACTCTGCCAGACGCTCACAACTAATGGAGATGTCCTTACTGTTATTTTCATTCTATGTGAAATAAAGTAGATTCATTATGTGAAGTCTAAAAATGTGAATCGCTGCAGGAATGCTAATTTATGTTGTAGAAATTTTGCTGTAGTTCAGTGGAATTTTGCGGTAGTCTACATTTCTTAAAATGAAAAACGTTAATGTAAAAATATGACGGAGTATATAAGACAAATGAACTCTTGTAGTCAAAAGTACGAATCCCAGCGAATTGATAAATTTATAAATTATAAGTTTGCATAAGGCTTTTGTGACTTGAAACATGAATAATGCAGTTTCTCTGAAAACGTCCTGCAAGACGGCATCCATCTCTTAGGCAGATAGCCATCGCAGGCCCTATCATAATAGATCAAGCAACAAACTAAAGTTAATTTTAATTACACATTCATCACAAAGAGGGTTTGCAAATTTTACAGTTTGTTGGTAAAATTATATATCTAGACAAGAAGCAAGTACGAGAATTTTATTTCCAATAATAATACATATAAGAATTCAAGAAATTCTATATCTTTCTTTCTTTAACTCAGTTGCCTTCTGGCAGTTTAATACCAAAATAGTTTAGTTTTTGTAATTTAAGCAATGAGCAATTATGATACTTTCAGCCTTTTAAAGTAGTTTCAAGTTCTTTTAGTACCAGTGTAGTATCTTTCTTTTAAAATGTGAACTTGTCATTGTTCATGTTACTTCTTCGTAGGTTGTTTTCCATTATAAAGTACGGTTTTTCCCGAGAATATGTTCCAAGACTTTGTCTGGGTTGGTCTGCAATGTCTGCTTGTTTGGCAGGAGGATTATCACCTGAAGTGACTAATTGTCTGCTTGTAGAATCCTGAAAAAAAAAAAAAAAAGGAACATGACAAGAAAATTTTCATATATGAAAATTAAATTTCGACGAATAAAGGAAATTAATAGAAGCGTAAAAAGTTAGTATGAAAATTGCAATAAAAATGCGTCGATAATGAAATTTAACCAGTTAGGTTTAAGTTTCTATTAGAAGATCTTAGTGAACTTTAGTTTATTTCTTACACCAAATTTTTCATTATCAATTTGCAAAGCATAAAGAGGACGCATGCTGTTAATCATCATTATTTAAATAAGTTTATCCTTTAAATAAATTATAAATCACGGGGTTATTTAAGTTGAAAGAAATTTATAATGTCACAAGTGTACCAAATATACTATAAAAGTACTTAAAACTGTCATACATTTTAACAGGCATTGTACGAGTAAGACCAGATTAGCGATATTCTCACACGCTATTTTTGAAGCCACTGATTTTAAAATTTGCTATACGAATGCTCATTTGCGATAGAAGAAAGTGTCCTAGAATTTCACTATTATCTGGTCATGAAGGCTCTAAAATCTGTTTGTCTAAAGGATCAATTATAACAGAAAAAGTTTCATTTCAGAAACATTGGGTTTGTTTCGTGTATCATCAAACATTTCATTAAAACTAGCTTTTCTTATGTCATAGAACAGCTGGAAATTGTTAGATGATGAAGAGGATCTTCAACTAAACAAAAGAACAAAATGCATACATATTTTGGATACTTTTGCATGTACTGTTATAAACATAAAGTAAGTAAAAATTTAAAGTATATATGCAACGCAGTAATAGTATATAATATCTTTGGTGCATATGATTTTAATGCATTAATATAAGAAATCTGCGTATAAAAGAAAACTGGACACGTTTGATTGAAATAGGAAGAGCTGTAGTGACTCAAAATAGTACTGAGGCATGGGAAATATTCATACATTAAATGGCAAAAATTTAAGTGTTATTCCAGAATAAAATAAGTTTTACTTTTTTCTGTTCCAGAACAAAATAATTTTTACTTTTTTCTGTTCCAGAACAAAAGAATTTTTACTTTTCTCTGTGCCTAAATACCATGCTAATACGTTGCCAACTAGATGCAACCATTTGTTTATCACAATAGCAAATAAAACATTTTTATATCAGCAGTTGAATACAAAAATAGAAATTTTTAAGAATTTTATTTTAAAAAGGCAACTAGAACATTTATAAGGTTTATTTGGATGAGAAAACATTTAGGATACATTGAAACTGACAATGATAACATTATTTGTTACATAATTTTATATCATGATTTAATTAAATGAACTTCCCTCTTTTAAATCTGCATTTAAAATGTTTCTGTTACATTCCAACATGAAATTCTGTCTCATGTCTTGATAAAGTAATTTTGTCTTCGAATTAGAAAACATATAGTGAAGGTACACGAATCTTTTTAAAGACAATGATGCCTTATATAACGAAAGTCTCGATTAATAAAAGAGTGCATGGATCGAAAACTACTTGTATTTCACATGACGAACTACACGGAATGTGAATTGCACCACATTAAATTTTAGGGTAAATTTATTTATTTTCTCCTGTTTTTGAAGCACGTAAGAATAAAAAAATGCTACTGTGTGTATAAACTAAGACAACGAGCAGCGTGATTGAAAAACTGGATACGTTTTTTAATTTTATATTTCCAATTATTTAATATTATATTTCAACTAAGAAATCGCAAACCTTCCTTTAGCAGTTCCTTCACAAGGAAGCCTACAGGGAAGTTTCTTATTGTGAGGAGGAGAAGAACACAATATGTTCATACTTATAAGCAATCATCAAGGACTTTCTGAAAACGTGGGAAGTCCAAGGCCTAACCAAGGAGTGGTATCCTAGTAAAGCCGAGATCAACATGCTGACTTTTTCAATGATGTATGTCGTACGCTACTTCAGGACTATCTTAAGGAAAACGGATAAGCAAAAATTAAAGGGAAATTGCAAGGAGGTCAAGAACAACTGCGTCTTCTACCTTCAGTAAAAGACTGGAAATACACAGATTAAACCCAACTGAAAAACCGTGACACTGCTTACGTGTATACTAAGTTATGTAAATATGTTTATATATAATAAGTTAGTAAATTCCTAGCATTTCCAGCATTGGCTGCGTTTTTAATATCCTCCGAAAATGTTTTACTGTGCTTCGTGATTTGGGATTGGCTCAGGAACGAATTAAAATTATTTTGAGAAGCAGCATTCCACACAACGAATGATTAGAAAAAGAATGACGTTGGAAAAAAAAGGATAGTGTTTAGTATTCATAGCACCAGTGTAGTTAACATACATGATCGTTAACCAATTGCTGCTCAGAACATCAATAACAAAATAAAGCAAGTTTCTCACTAAATTTGATGAATGACTTGCAGCGGCAATGAGTTCTGGTAATTAATTCATCTTGTGTTTTACTCTTGGCTGATGGTTTGGCTGTATGCAGTTTATTGGTTTTCTCATGTATATTTAAAACGTGTGTCACTTTCTTTCAGAAAACCTTCCACAAATGCATCCCTCGGCTACTTTGTTGAAACTAACTAACCCAGGCTATCAAACCTGCATTTTCTTAACCCTTTTAATTTAAATCTTCCCCCATCCCACCGGTCTTGCCAAATCATGCGATTTTTCGCAAATTTGTGATTTTCGACAAACTTGTGCTACTAAAATTTATATCTATGCCATTTTGCGAATTTTTTAGGACTGCATCATTTCCTTCTACGTAGTTTTCATTAGTAGTCACTAGTGTTTTCATATGTTTCATTGTTTGCTTTGTTTAATATTCTGGTGATCTATGAATAAGATTTTAAAGTTTAAGACGAATACTAGCTGCTGTACCATATGAGTAAAACGCGCGTCCACTATGTTTGTTCTATAATATATTTTTTCAAATGTTACATGATTAATATATATATATATATATATATATATATATCAACGAGTATTTTTTTAGAATAACTGATATATATGTATATATTTTTGTATTTATGAATATATACATATGTGTATGTATATATATATATATAGTCTAATGAAAAATCAGCCAAAATTTTAGGAGCTCACACATAAATGTCTGTTCATAACTGAAATAACTATCTCATAAAATTCTAAGATATCATTCTTTATTATAATTTTGTCCAAATACAATATAAAGCTCTAATGATCAGTTGTACTTCTTTATTTGGTATATACGTAATTTTCTCTTTTCCATGCTTATCGTTACAGCTCAGAAAACCAATATGTCTTTAAATAAAAGAAGGGTGGTGGAGAAGATAAAATATATTTAAAAATGATGAAAATAATTTCCAAAACTAAAACTGGGAAAGACTATAAAGATTTTACCCGATCTACCTCTCATTCGTGTAAAGGCGATTTAAAGTTTTTCCTCGAAGTCATAAGACCACAGATTGCATTGCATAATTAATAGACGGGCGAAATACATTGAAATAAATATAATAAAAGGAAAAATATTTCAAAACAAGTCTAAAACATTATAAACTATGTTATACACCTTAATATTAATACTTGTGATTTTATCGCTGCATCACTGTCGATTTTAAATCCTTATCTCCGTAACGGTTTGTAGCCAGTGCGCCATATATTTGAAATTCATTCTTCTAATTATAATACTGCTAAGAAACTAAACAACGGAAATGACTTAGTCAAAACGACACCAGATTTTTAAGTAACAGAACTAATTTCTAAGTAACGGCAAAGAACTGAAGTACAATTCATAACACACGAAACACTCGGAGATAGAATTGGTGATGACGTCAGAGATCAAGTAAGGTTACCAACCTATGATGTTTTGTACTACTTTTTGCGACTTATCGTTTCTTCTCTTGCTACTTTAGCTCAAAAATTTCTGGCCCTACTTGTCCAAAAGTTATAATTGAGCAGCGTAACTATAAAAAATATCCAAAAATTTAAAAAGGAGCAAAGAGAGGTGCTTACGTTTTCTTCTGAAGGTAAAACTTCAAACAGTATCACTTTTTCTTTGAACAGCCTTTCCAAATCTGCATTCTCTTCCCTGGGTGGCTCTGCGCAGTATGAAAGTAACGTTGAGAGTTTGCATCGGTTTTTGCAACACTCATCAACAATGCCTGAATGCATTTTAGGTTCTCCAATTGCCGCTCCAGCAAATAAACTTTCTAGTTGAGATTCCTGGATGTATCGTGGTGCAAGTGAATGCGAAGTATGAAATAAGAAACTGTTGTTGGCTGCATTGCTGTGAGCTGTTAAAAGACAAGTAATTTCATAGACACATAATAAATAGGCAAAAGCCAACTATGGAAATAAATAAATATTCTACAGAGCTAATCTAATCATAAAAATGTTATATTAAATTAATATATGATATGCAATATCAAATGTATTACGTAGCATCATATTTTTCATAAAGAAATGAATTATTTGACAAGGGTCTGTATTTTCTGTCCCATAAGCTGCATAGCCTGCCAATATTAAACCAAATTCTATAAAATTTCTTTCTTTGGGAGAAATATTGCAGAACGTCAAATGAAAAGTCAAAAGTAAATCTTTTGGCTTTGAGCAGCTTTAACTTAATGGGTAATGACCTAGCTGACTAAGTAGTAAGGAATGGAGCATTAAAAAAAGACGTTGATAAAGCGCTGTGAAAACTCACCTCGAAAAAGCAGATAAGTATATGCAATAAAGATGTAACTCAAATGAAACGGAAAGATTCACCTATAAAACCTTCTCTAAAGGTTAGCTTAAAAAATTAGAATGGATTAATCCATTTCAGGATTAGCCACTAATTCTTAAAAATTTCTCAAATACTTAAAAAGTTCTATAATAAAATTTTAAATATTATTGGTGATAGGCTACTTTTAAAATAGGTACCCTTTGATGCTTTGAAAGTTTTACATGCTACTGTCCTAGTTTGGAAGTAAAGATAATTTTGTTTTATGGGCCGTTGACAATTACAAATGTAAACACGACTTTTAAACTGACTGTTGTTTTAAATGACTCCGAGAACTCATAAAGTTAATTGCATAAAATGAATGTAAGATTGTAACATATGTACGTAATAAAAATTGCTGGCATATTATATTTAAATTAAACGATATAAACATAATTTATGGATATATGTTTATTGTCTTAATATAAATATGATATATACGGAATGTACAATATATTTCTATAGTTACTGTAATTTTTGTCACGTAGCTCTGTTGTATTACTTATATCTTGTCTTTAATGTATTGCATACATTGTACGTAATATTTCTATTGTACATTTACGTTACGTAACTCTGTTACACAGTCACTTTAGCTTCGTGTAAAGGCGCTGGTGAGATTTTCATCATCCCAGTGAGCGCAGTTCCTAGAGTTTACGTACAAAGGATAAATGCGTCTCATCCATCCATAATATCACCTGCTCTACGGTCACTTGCTATCTTCATCATACCTGATGAGGAAAAATTTGACTCGCTGTTTCTTTCTCTCCGAATTGCAACATCTGCACGCTCTGGAATCGATAAAGAAACATCCGCAGAACAGAGAGCAGAAGCCTGAGGGTTGTGGTTTTCGGTGCATCCAAAACCTGTGAGTAACACTTTTTCCCCAAAACCTGTGAGTAACACTTTTTCCAGCATACAGTGGACTTGCAGTAAACTTATTATGCACTTTAGCAACAATTTCAGCATCAACATCTGATAGAAGAAACAATTTTCCCACACAATTTATTAAAGGTTTTCCATAGGCAATGATTTGCACCTGGTTATCTGTGATTAGTGATTTTACTGTTTATTCCTGTGATTATTTAAAAGGCGTCAATATACTTCCTCTCTGTTGACATTGGTCCTTTATAATGCTCGTCTTTGCAAATGCTTTACGCTGCCAATTTTCGCCTTAAGAGTATCTTTACAACGCCGTTTATGGTTTATCAATGCACTGATCAATTTGCGCAGGAAAAAAGTAGGTGTTAGCATTCGAAAATTCCGATAGCTTTTCAATGTAATCGTAACTGGGAGAATTCTATTGTTCTAAATCATCCCAATCTCAGACACATACCTTCAACTAACAATATTTCATTTCGATTGGTTAAGTCGATAGGCCGTTAGGGGTTCATATATTGGGAAAGTTCTTTTATGACCAGCCTACATACGTTTTTTTCCACATCCAGGACATTCCAGTTTAAAACAGAAAATGAAAACTCAGTTGCTCCTTAAGTTTCATGGTTAGTTTACTTCACTGTTTGAGGTTTTATTTGCTTATTTTTTAAACCTGAGCCAGTTTCTTGAAAAATGATGGCTGCTGCCATGAAGATATAAAGTTGACAAACCATTGAATGCTGTTTAAAAGTATCTGGGGGTGACAAGAGCTGTGAAAGGCGATAAGATTGCAATTCTACCAAATAAAAAAAAAAATGTGATGGAGGCTAGGTAAGGTATGAATATATTTTAGGTCTGTATGACATTATTATTTTATACTTAATGTCTGCAGAAGATCTCATTTCTTTTATTATAAATATGTGATAAATGTGTATTTTAATGGCAGTTATTTCCAACAGAATTAAAGAAAGGCTGTTAGTCGGTGCCATTTTATATGAATTTTTCAACAGTATAAGAAAGTAACCATCTCCTAAAATTTTCTACCTATTTTTCTTACTATAACTTTATTTGTACATTATTTTTATCCTGACTTTACTTCTGCTCCCAGTTTTATTTATATTTTTTTGCTCAGTTGGACAATGCTTATTCCCTTACCAAAGAGCTTTAGGAGGGTTTTGGTTTAAATACCTGTTGTCATTACAGCTAGTTATCAAGTTCTGTCTGTCGCACTGTAGTTTCAAAGTGTGAATAAATATTCTAGTTAAGTGGGATGGGTTGAAGTTTAGTTAGTTTCTCAAAGTCATCTAATATGAATGAAAAATGTCAATATTAAATTAATCCGTGCTGATGTAGTACATATGCCATAGATGCGCTACTAGCTAAAACTACGAACATTTTATTCATTTTACTGAAGTAAGGTAATAAAATCTACCTGTAATAAGTTCAGGCGTCTGGTAATAGTGCAAAGAACATTTAATTAGCTGTATTATTATTCACAAGTAAATTTTGTTTTACGATAGCTTATGTTTCGGTCACATTTTTAATAAAAAAAATTTTTAATTTCATTGGAAGCTGTTAGCTTTAACTTGAACATATTAAATTAAACGTAAATTTATTATTTTATTGGATTGCTAAATTTCAAAATTGACACATCTGTCTTTTGCTGGGAATGAGGCCTGTTAAACATCAATAGCAATGAATGTTATATTTTTGTAGTAAGTACTAGTAGTTTAAAAAGGGGAATTTTCAAAAGGAAAATTTTACTGAGGAATTGCACAAGGAAAAAAAATTACATACTTTTCATTTATTTCAGAAAGTATTTTTCAGACTTATTATATTTTAATTTGTATTTGTTATGCCTTTTGAAAAGGAGAAGCCTATATTTGGGTTTGAAGCGAATTTTGAGTGTTAATCGTACTGACCCATTGTTCTTAATTTATATAAAGGAACTTCCTTCAGAACTGTAATACAATTACTTAGCTTATATTATCCTTCAAAATAATGAGAACTTTTCCAAAGAAATTGTCAAGTATAGAAAAGCATAATCCTTCCAACTTTTAGAACTTTCTCCCTTAATATAACTTAACGTTTTTTCTTACTTTCACAAAATTTAAGAATTATTATGATACGTTTGATAGAAGTGAATTAGTATTAAATTCAAGATTTGAATAAAATACTTGGTTGTTTATTAAGAAGTAATATCAGCTATTTTGGAATTTTATATGTTAAAGTTTTGAGTCATAATAGTGTTTAAAAAGGAAATTTAAATATACAGAAATTATAAGTAATCAACAAAATTTGCATTTAATCATAGTTTTTATTTCTACAAGCTGTAACTAGCACTGGGCTCTTATTTCTGCGTACTTGCATTACAATTGACAAATTTTTTTGAGATAGTTTAATATCATTAGAAAATATTTTGTAAAATCTGAATAAACAAAACTATACTTCACTTACCAGCTCGTCTGTTACGAGGTGTTTGGTGACCACCGTAATGTTTGCAAACCTCGTTCAGCTTGTTTGCTAAGCGTGCACCACATAATCTGATATGACCATCAAAAGAGTGAGTGCGGTAAACGAAGTAAATAATGAAGATGACGAACAGGAGAGGCAAATGGCGCGAGACCACCATATTTCATTCAAATCTTCCTAGGCTGAAGGTAGGTATGTTTGATATAGGAGATATGGAGATATTTCTCTCTTTTCCTAACAAGGAATAGTTTACTTGTTTGCTTATATAGTATTGAGATTCCACAGCAGAAAAAAAGAATCTTTCGCAAGCCCGCCTTTAAAGCAGCCAATGCGGTGTTCATCAAAGGCAAAAAGAAGAAAAAAAGATTCCTATCATCTTAACGCCATCAGGATAGCTTTGTGGAAATTAGTTTCTAATATCTTATAGCTCAGTGATTCGCAAGAAAGTGCCATATGGATTCTATTTCTGGAAAATTAGTATTAGGATTTCTATGGATCACTGAAACTCAATTTACTGAGCAAATAACACTCGGGCATCCTGAATTGCCTTCCAGCGCATCATCCTAAATGTCCTTCGCTATGTTTTTTCTTTGACACAGCTTATAATGCTATCACTTCTAAACCTTTATTTTAGAACAGTTTATAGGCGCACTAAATCTGTTGATTGAGTCTTAATAATAAAGTTGGTGTATTTTCATATCACAAGAAGTGAAGAAAATCCTTACAGTGTAATGGGAGTACTACCATATATCTCTCCTGAAGCAATTTTTCTGAATCTCTGCTTTATAAAATTTGGTGTGAATACTAATTGAAACTGGTAGTGCGGAACATTCTATTGGAAATTCTTCAATATTTGTGGCATGCTTTACAAACTATTCGAAATGTTTCTAGTAGTAATTATCTTTTATCTTAAAATTATTATTATAAAGTTATCTATTTATTATATATATTTAAGTTAATTAAAATTCGTTTGTTTTTATTTGAATTACATGTTTACCACCATGTTTAGAGCCATCAATCGTAAACAGTCTTCAGCTGAATTCAGATGATATCTGAACGTTCGACTTTTACATATATCCTGCTAAAATATTTCAAGTTCCCCTTTCTACTTAAAAAAAAAAAAAAAAAAAAAAAAAAAAAAAAATGACAAACGAATTGCTCAAAACTGTGTACACAGAGCTTTATTTCTTTAAATATGTTCTTATACAAAATCTTTGAACATATCCTGGTCATGTGTTTCTAATTACAGAGTTTCTCATTATAAAGTAGAGATTGTTATGAAAAGAACTTCAACACTGTAGATTACAGAATTGGGCAAATATAAAAATCTAATTTTCTATATAATCTCCGCAGAAACGAATTCCCAGTTAAAGAAGTAACCATTCGTCTTTAATAATTTAAACAAGTGAAGCCTTTGTGATAAAAATTTGTTGAGATATTGGAAGATGAACTTACTGATTTGGATTGTCCTTCAGTGTTTATTACCATTTCAAATCAACAATTTTCCAAAATATTTAAGGAGAAACTGCAAATCGAAAGTTGTTCATTTCGTCGATTGTTGGTTCGCTCTTAGATATAACAACACTCAATAAATTTATAGCTGAATGTACCAATATAAATTGAAATGAATTTTAATTAATTGTATTTTAAAAATATATGTATATAGATAGTAATATATGCCCAAAAACATTCTCTTTGAAGAAAATCAGAATAAAGTTGTCCACAGAACATTCTAATTTATGAAAGTGGTCGCTATTTGGAAAAAAGTTTGAGAAATGCTGTCATAAGATTATAGGGTATATTTTAATTTTATAACAGTTATTTCAATTTAATTCACCTTTTCTTTCTTATCTCGTTTGAACTTACAATTCACTACCAGAATGAGGTTTTAGAAACATGGTAAATGCAAATAAGAGAATAGTATTTAAGTCAAGTTCAACTGACTTCGAGAGAGACAGAGTTAGGATTCCTGAGTAGCGTACGTTTGCCTCTTGGCTACGTTCCTCTAAGCTATTATTACGCTCGGCCGTATTATTAAGTGCCTTTTAATAGTTCGCCGGCTAGTTTAAGATTACGGGCAACTACATTAGAATCGTGTAAGCTTCGACTAAATCTCTTAGTCACTAGTTAGTTATCTTACTTCTTACATTTTGAGTTTAAGCCAAGTGGAGGCTTTGCTGTACGCCCAGAGAAAGGGGCCGACTGTTAGTCTTATTTTGAGTGAATAAAGGGTACTTAACCCTTTTTGAGTTTACGCTTTCTGTTCTTTGAACTGAGCGATAAATCGCTTAACAGTTCACTAGGTTCCTCGACATTTCATTTAATACGTAGGATAAAAGTGAGGAACCTTTTAAGATAATAAATAATGACTTATCTAATAATTAGTAACCTAAAACAGTTTTAAAATTTTCTAAAATTAAATTTTGAAATTTATATGCTTATAATTTTAGCAAAATATTTCAAAATTACGTACTTAAGACAAATTTAAAATAAATTTTTCCTATTGTTCATTAAACTGTTTTCATTCGTAATTTCAACCTTATAAAAACTGCTTGTAGTTTTTCTGATCATTATCATTTTGATTTGATCATTATCATTTTTTTTCAGAATTTGTAGTGGTTTTTCTAGCTTTGACTGAGCTTGGGATATCTATAAATTTTTCCATATTGTTTCCACTGTTTGACTCCAGTACTTTGAAAAGTTATCGACTTTGTTATGTCCTTCGATGTACTTTGATGTGTTTGCGATGTGTTTTGCCTTAATCAATAATGAATTTTCATAAAATTCAGTTTTATTTATTGCTTTCAATTGCATCTTTTCTGTAACGACATTTCAAAGATCCTGATCACAAGGCTTGAAGAACAGAAATTGGGTCTCCAGGAAGAAACGCTAAATTTAATATTTTTCAGAGCTCACCGGTGGCCGAGCGGTAAAAGCCGCTGAACACTGGTAGCTCGTCCAGGCTTCAATATCTAAAATTTCTAGTTGTCTATCATGTTATACGACATTATACATTTGAACTGGCTTGTATTCCTATGACAAACCACATAAAATGTCTTTTATCCAGTTAGCCGAATGATGATCTGCACTTTGCCCCTTTCCATGCAGTTTGTGATGAATAATATTACTTCTCTCTTATAAAATATAAAATTCTAAGCTTTCTATGAATTTGAAAATACTGCTCCAGACATTTTAGAGAACTTCCCCTCTTTTAGGATGAAAAGACCTCAAATACGGTCATTGTTTTTAGTATCATAAACTGAAACCATTCTCGAAAAACGGCCATTCTTTCCTTTAGGTAAATAATTCCTCCCGCGCTTTCAAACAATCAAGTTTAGATCTCTTAATCATAAATAGTTTTTAGCTGAATTCAGATGATCTTACATAGGCACTATAGTATCTCAATTTTCCGTCCATCTTATAGCACACCTTTTTGGCCTCCATTCTCTTGCTTCTTACCTTAAAAAAGGCTCACCAGCGGTAAAGTCGGTAACACAAGCCACAAACAGTGAAAGTCCCTGAATAATGGTAGCTTGACCTGACATCGATTCCTCGCAAATGGGCTGGCTGCATGGTTAATTTTTTGGTTTTCCCCGTGTGTAACGTGAATACAAACCAGCTTCCCTTAAAAAGTCCACGAAGACGTCCCTTACGATATGCAAGTAGCCCTCGAGTTGTTTTGCCTTAATCAATTAAGCTAACATATCTTAAGATATTTACTAACATTTACAGCTTTATTATTTCATCCTCAAATTTATTTCCTTTTCAGTAAACTGTTTAAAGAATGCTGTATGAGAAATTCTAAGTTTAAATGTAGATTCTTTTTGTCTTCAGTTATGAAAACCATCATGATATCTTAGCAGTTTTTCCTTTTCTTCCAGACTCAAATCTTTGAGTTTGGACATCGTTCTCTACATACTGAAATTATGCTCTTGGTCAAATTAAGAAATGCTTCTTGCAGTGATTTGCATAGACTCAAGAAAACTCATGTATCGCGCCATTTTAAAGATACTGTTTTCTCTCTCATTCATGGAGTCATCCAGTTCACGGTTACAGACATTACCAAAGTTTTTGTCTCCCCCTTCCGGTTTCAACGGCCACGCTCTTTCCGTTAACAATGAGGTAATGTACAGTTACACTAGGACTCATTTTAGGAAATTTTCTGAGAATCTCATGGCAACAGGTGTAATATTTGTTAAAAAGATAAAATGAACTATATTTGGACGGAATTAATAACATGTTTTACTACTGAAGTATTGCTCTTTTCTGAATTTTATAAGCGGCAAAGATGACTTTATTGAAAGGCATTTTTCCTGTTGATATGCATATAAATGTTCTGTTTCTGAAAATTTGAACGTAATAAATGGCTGATTTTTTATTAAACAATGAGTTTAATACATTACGAGTTAATCGAATATCCGGTCAGTTGAAACGCTTATTTTCATATATACAATTTAACTTGAATAAGCTTAATCCCACTGCTGACGGGACCAAGACTTAATTATTTTTTATAAAGTTATTAGACAATTATTATTAAGTAAGTTAGACAATTATTTTTATAATTTCTGTAATTATTTCAAATTGGAAGAGAAGCACGTCAATGTAAAATTTATGATTAGATCAAAAAAGCAATATTAGATTAGATTAAATTTTGATTTAAACTATCGATTTCAAGAGCAGCCAAACATAAGTTACTCTTCTTTAGCTGCAGAAAAGAAAATCGACATATATATTAAATACCTGTCTGCATTTTGCATTTTGTGTGATATATTTTATGCATTATCTTTACTTTGGTTAAATATCAGAGCTACTGAACTTTGGCATGTGTTATTTATAGGAAGAGGTTAATAACGCTTTTGGGTCTGTAAAAACACTGTATGTAATTAGAGAGAGTTGAGGCACAGCTGCGAAACTCTGCAAAAGTATAATGTTTGAATGCGTATGTTATTAAACAAAAAATTAACAGCATTTCAGAAACTAAGAAAATAACACTTATTGTCTTTGATCATATAACGAAATTTTAATTTAAGTAAGAATTCCATGCTATTAGATTGTGATTAGCTAATGTAGATAAAATAATACTTTGTCTTTAATATTACTTTGCTGTGATAATTTATATTTAGTGTAAATTATTGTAATTTTTTTCTTAACTGCTAATATTTATTTCATAATAATAATCTTAGTTTTAATTTGTCAAATATATTCTACGATGAACGAAAACTTTACATTAATTCATCTGCCTGCATTATATTAAACATTTGCTAAAATGTTAGGAGATTTTTATTTATCAAATCCGTCATTTTATTTATTAAAGACGTTTTACAGTACTCCTGCATTCCAGATATTTTGAATGCATGTACGTATGTCTGCAAGTTGGTATTTTATTAAAAAATATATTTGAATAATTTTGGCTGAAGATGTCAAGTAAAATGTACAAATCTTAATTAACACAAGAAATTATGACGTAGTACTCGAAAGGAAAAAATGTTATTTGTGCTTCGCGAGCGGTAGAAAAACAGAGTATCTTAAAAGGCTGAATTGTAAATTTTCTTCTTAATGAAATATAAACGTTTTCACAGTAGTTGGACAGCATGGTTAGAAATTTTGCTGCAGTGAAATTGCTTGCCGAGCCGATAATATATTGCACTGGGTATTGGGTAAAAGGCCTGCTTTCGGAATTGCTCGTGGCCGAGTTGAAAACGAAACGGAATAGTAAGAGATGCACTCAGTGCCCACCTGTAAATAATGTACCCAATATGTTTTATTAGCATTCTTAATTTTGTATCTTACTCATTTATTGTACTGTGTATTTCTTAAATTCACTAGTTTTATTCACATTCTACACTCATTTTATGACTCCCACTTAGTCACGCCTTTACCGGGCCGGTTACTTGCTAATGAGCTCTTGCGTTGCTGGTCTTCCTATTCTTTATCCGTCTTTCTCCTTCTTACTGCGGACATTATGTGAAGATAGTTCTATGTTATTTTGCCCATCCGGCATAAATTTGATTGAGCCAGATAAACTACTGATCTCAGTGGTATTCTGGCTATAAGTTATCAGTCAGTCAGTCAGAGATGCACTGGCTTTACGAAAAGAAAAATTAGATCCAAAATCGAAGTCCAAAAGAAAGCCCAAATCTCTACAACAGCTAATAGATATCTTAAATGGTAAGCTGGTAAATTTAATCAGCTCTGTGGATAAATAGTTTTACTGCAATTTGATGCTGCGTGTTACCCATTTATAATAGCAAATGAAACATTTCAAGAAAAATCGTAGAGTTCGCATTTTTAATAATAAAGTACTAATATTAATAATATGCAAGTATTACGTAATAATTTACAAACATTATTATCTGTTAACTATAACATGTGCATGATAACTAAAGCTTTCTTTTGTATGTTGATTTAGAAATAAAAATTTTCCTGCAAGGTAAAGTGTCAAAAACTTAAGATTCTTGTATTCTGCGTAATGAAGTTTCAGTTACAAGAAACTGGCAATGAGCTATACACACAGTAGGGCAATTCTTAGCACAGTATAGCAATTTTCGAAGGGCCAGTACAATAAGTTACACTGTACACATTTTAATTGACTAAAAGCTGAAAGAGTGTTCTTAAAGACATATTTTTTTTTCTATTCGTTTCAAACAAGAGATTCTTTTGCAGCAAGCTATGCTTTCATTTATCGTCCGAGAAAAGTAATTTGCATAATGTAAATAACCTTACCTGATATTTGATATGCTTTAGGTATACGAGTGTTAAGGTAATAGATTACTAATGCAATTCAAAGAGGTACTTTTATTTAAAATCTGAAGCAGTTGATTTACAGAGCCAGAAACGATTTCCATTTTTCTTGATTTATGAATTAACAAATGAACATGGTCAGTAATAGGAGAGCTCGACAATGATTTAAGCGAATCAAAGAAAACTGAAAAGGGATTGCCCAGCTACATATTTTCCAGAAAATATGGAATGTTATTCTTCAGTATCTTACTTTATTAAAAATAAAACAACACGTAATGCGATTAAAAAGTACACATACATTGATACAAATTACAAAACTTAACAACATAACAATTATAAACTTAAAGAGTTATATTTACACATATCCATACGTAATTATAATATAAATAATGAATGCAAAATCTTAAAGCTCAGGATTGCGAATGTTGCCCTGTTTAAAGTATAATCTTCAGTTTTTTGTTAAATATCAATTTCCAGTTAAATATTATGGTAAGTTTGTATATATTTGTTTTCAAATTAGGCTCATAGTGTAATATTCTAAGACTGAGAATACAAATAGGTCAAATTCAGTTATAAAACGTTATTACGCATAAATAATATATTTAGAGATACCAGCAGTAGAACTTAATATATAAGAATCTTTAGATGGAATAGTCAGTTTGAAATTCATTTTCTTCTTGCAGAGGGTTGAACATTAAGAAAAAAGGTTTATTTCTGACGTAAGTTCCAAGGTTTGGTTCATTTGTGCTTTCAGGATCGTCCGATATATCTTCTAGAGAATTGTAACTCATAGAATTGTACAACTGAATGGCATTTTCTTCAGAAGAGTCCTAAAAATTAAAAAAAAAAAATATTATATGCAAAAAGAAAAACAAGTTTTCTTGGATATAAGACATCGCTGTTTAGTAGTACTATGTAATAATAGCAAAATAATATTACTTTTATTATTAAGGTATAAACCTAAAATTTAAAAACTCTTTCTTTTTAGTAAGAAGTTCATCTTTTGATATTACGAACGCAAAAAATTCGCTTAACTTTCTGATTATTTTTTATTTAAAGCCGCATAGTATAAAGCATAATTCGAAATTCTGAATGTAAAGAAAACATTAATTTACCTTACTAATTAAGTTCATCTATCTCACATTTTTCCTCATGTTTTCTAGGTTAAACTTTTTCGGGTTATTAAAAACTGGGTTGCGTTTCCATCAGGAAATTTGTCAGTAATTAATTATTGATTCTGAAATTAAACTCGTAATTTATTTTCCAATGTAAACGCATGAGAAATTATATTGTTCGAATGTCAGTGGCTTTTCGAAACAACAGCATATGAGAATCAAAATTACTTAATCAGAATTTTCTTCATCTTAACTGCTATAGGTAATTTCCGCTTTATGACCATTCAATTACGGAACTCCACTTTTTCAAAGAACCTGAATTAGTACACTTTTTCCGTTCATAAAAGCAATCCGAAGAGGATTCTTGCTTTCGTAAAAGAAAGACTAAATATTATGCAGCGTTTAAGTACAGCTTATTAAAAATACGAATCAACGTTTATTTTATACTGTAACTGCAGATATTGTATGATTAATCACAATGAGTTTAAGATAGGTTTTACAAGATGCTTTGATTGTCGATGAAGAACCAGATTGTGTCACGTTCAACTGCCAGATTTGCTCTTTTACTTCAAGTTTTAAACTTAAGCCAGATAAGCAACATGGTTTGACAAATGCGAATCTATCAAAATAATTGCGCATGCATTTTGAAACTGTTGGTAAAATTTAACTTTTCTTATCTTCAGTGATTACAGCTGTGATCACGATAAGTAAATATAGTGATTCATGATAAGAAATGTATATATATAGATATATATATAAAGAGGAAGAAAAATCAGGGCTTAGCAATTTTGCTTTAAAATATAATTAGCTTTACATTATTAAGAGTGAATGTTATTCATTAAGGGGAGGAAACTGCACTAATTTGCAAATTTGTTTCAAGAAATGATTCCCGCAATCACATAGATTTCTAATCAGTCATACTGACTTATGATTAGCACTGCTATTAATACTTGGATTTTAAACTTCTGTTTGCAGCTCATTAATAATCAATGATGCATAATGGTTGCTCTAAAGAGTATACTATGTTGCAAAAAACTGTATGTAATCAGAGAGATTTGACCCACAGCTGCGAAACTCGACAAAAGTATAATGTTTGAATAGATAAACTAATGATTAAAGACTGAATTGAAAAAGGCTTTTTAATTGCCAGTAGCAGTACAGAGAACGTGAAAATCAATAGCTTGTAAAACCACCCTTGGTACCTATTCAAACTGATACTCGGTTGGGCATGGGGTCTACTAAGTTGCTAATATCCCTTTGCGGTAGATTGTACCACAAATGGTGCAACTGGTGAGCGATTTGGGACGTGTTTGTAAAAGGCTGAATTCGCCTGTCCAACATGTCCCAAACAAACTTGTCGCCTATGTGATAGGCGACAAGTCTGGTTGGTTGTCTTTTAATGGCACAAAACCTTGAAGGTTATTATGCGCCAGACGAATGGTGAATAAAATCCAAATTGCACAAACACACTTTATCAGATGAATTGTTGAAATGAACCTGTAATGCTCCTGAAGGCATGGAAAAATGACTGAGAAATGCTCTAGCAACAGGTAGAGCAGGATAAAAGAAAAAAAAACTTCAAATCATATGGTAAAAGAGATGTCTTTTAAAAATCTTATGAGGTTGATGTGAGGGTTTCTTCCAATGAGGTTTGTTAAGTTAATATTCATAGAGTTAAAATAATATTCACGTTTCTGACTAAAAGCAGGACAGCAGGTTAAAATGTGATTGACTGAAACCGGAACGTTGCAAAGCGCCACAAATAGGCTCAACGTCTATTACCATTACGTTTAAAATGTAAATTCTAATTACGTTTAAAATTAGTGCCTTAATTGTCTTGAGCCAGCTTAAGCAGAATATTTTGTGTTGTAATCTCAGACTATGATACCTACATCTGAATTTAAAATTATCTTACGTTAATTCCGCAAGTTAAAGTCCCGCAAGTTCATCTGCCGCAGAAGCAGAGCTTTCTACTCGTATAAGATTTAAATAAAAAGGGTTAACTTTCTCCAGACTTGGTGATTTGTTTCAGATTAAGCATCAACTCGCTTTCAGACTAGCAGGGTCTGCAGGACATCGACATAAACCTCTAATTATCCTCCTGAGTAGGTCAATTAACTTTGTGATGTGTCTTGTGCTGATACAGTTCAGGGTCACTCTTACATCCTGGAGAAACTTAAATAACCAAATGCATGGTACTCACTGTTGACACTTCACCCACTCACACGAATATTTCATTAAGAATGTTATCAGTTATTCAGACCAAAGAATGTGCCACAGCGTAGACGTATATAGCTTGATCATGGCTGAATGAACACGTTTTTGACTTCGAGAGCTTATTGCGACCTTTTTTTTTTTTTTTTTTTTTTCTTTTTCAACGGACGTCAGTGTCATCGAATTTATCTGGGATGCAACGAATGACGATGCAATAGGTACATAACTGACATGAAAGTATTTATTCCAGAAAACATTTAGGCTTCTAATTTTAGAGTTTAAAAAAATCAATAACATTATAAAGTTATAGTGGTTTTCACCATACGATTATAATCTACTGTTGACAAATGATACAGCAATGCATGCCATCAGATTATAACTTATCATCAGATTATAACTTATGCATGCCATCAGATTATAACTTATGCATGCCATCAGATTATAAGCCAAGTACCAAGTAATTGCATCTCCGCATACTATTGCCATTTTATGTGAGAATAAATCGTATTGCTACCATATCATGCAACTGGGCAATATGAACGAGTACTTAATTGGTTAGACAGTCTTTCAGTTAGTGATACACAATTTACAACTTAAAAATCTTAATAATTTTTTATTAAATCCAGAGGTTTTTTGGAAATTTTGGCATACATCTAATGATTAAAATATGTTGCCCGTAAATTTTATAAATGCTTCGTATTATCTTACATATAAAACTAACCCAAAAATAAGAGGATATATTTTACAGGTATGCTACCTTTTTTTTTTTTTTTTTTTTTTTTTAGTTTTATAATTAAAAAATATTTTGCTGGTCTTCAGCAATCTCCTTTCAACAAGATTTTATCTTTTCTACCTGATTGTTGTTTTTATTATTGTTTGTAAAATATGTAATAAAAATTTAGATAAAATTTGCATCATTTATTTTTTAAATTGAAAAATAATAAATTAGATAAGAGCGCATTGTTTGTTTTAGGAATAATATGCTCAGTGAAGTTCAAGAAGGGCAGTTTATGTGCCAATAATACGAACCGTGCATTAATTAATATCAGTTAAATATAAAAGCACGTCTAACCAATAAAACTTAACCAAGCTGTGCAATTATTAAGTAAACATGTAAAATTTGAAATTTAAGACTTCTTGATTAATATAAGTGTATCGTTTAGAAGCAATTAACTTATTTAAACCATGTTAATTAAAAAGAATAATTTGAAGTCAACTCTTTTATAAATGATTCGATAAAGTAGATTGGAAACTGTACTTTTTGTATGTTACCGTGATCAACATATCCATGAGCTATCAATTCTGAGGTTATTCTAGAATCAAGCATTTGGTGAAAATCACTTTCTTTTTCAATTGAATAGGCACAGTAAGATACCAATGTCAGAAACGAGCATTTCTCTTTGCAACATTCATCTGCAATTCCTCTTTGAGTAATACTTCTGAGACGCTTTTCATGGCTTCCTCTTTTAACACCTGTAAAACAAAACTACTGTTATTTGGATTCATATTCGTTTATCCATGCAAAATAACATCAGAAAAGGCTGAAAAGGCTTATCATAACAATATGCTCTTTATTTAAGTAGAGTAAAATAATTACATACATGTATGGCTATTGCAAACCAACATGGTTACGGCACTTCATGAAAAAGCAGATCTCATGTCCATTAAGAAAAAACTTCAACCCGTTTATGACAATAAAGCATTTATAAAAGAAGTTGAGAAAATTTGTTTAAAATGATTTTGAACATATTCAAAATTCTTGGCCAAAAATCTAAGGTTCAATAGAAAACATTTAAAATAGTACTTTTCACAATACATGCATGAACGTAACTTTAGCGGCGCAGCAGTAGGGTTTAGAAGACATTTAAGAAGAACAGACGGGAAATGGAAAAAAAATTACAAAACAAATTTTACTAAACAAATTACAGAAGCTTCTCAGAAGAGCCAAAAGATGGGACTACTTTACCAACCCAATGCACGCTGACATGGTGTGGCTTTCCGAATGTTGGAACCATATCTACCATGTGTTTTCTGAAACAGAATTCTCGGAAGACGTTTTGTAAAAATATCAGATACGTTCTCCAATCCCATTGGCAAAAGATATAGGCTGATTCAAGGGTCATGGACGATTCTAACTGAAGCATTTATTACGAAACGTCGCTAGAATGAATGTGGAAATGTTACGTGTGAATTACCGGCTGCTAACGCAGGAAAACTATGATAGTAAAAATTCCCTCAGGTTCATTTGTCAGTTAATTAGAAATTTTCATCAAACTCCGCCTGCGTTGCAGTCTGCTGAATGCGATAATGTGCAGAATCGATGCAAGTCTAATAATTTGCAAGTTTCGAGCACCTTTTGCGCAAGGTAAAGTTGTAATATTTCTTCTTGTAATACGTGTCATTTTATCGACTGGGACACACTTAAGGCATAAGAAATTTCTTGAGAAGTGTGTGCTGGAGAAGGTTTAGAGACAGTCCACGCAGGAGTTTTCTGAAACACGTAATATCATCACACTCCTCGGGAAAGTGCTTTCAGTAAGCCGCTGACAAAGAAGTTTGTTTCGCACAGATACTCGCAGCTATTTGAAGATTTTACAATCTGACACGTGTCTTGAAGGAAAAGTGTAATTAACTTATAAGGTATTTTCTCCTTCCTTTCCGCATGCCTTCGTGGTGTAATTAGAAGCATCTTTGAGCCGTCTTCGAGAGGTCCAAAGTTCAAGTCTTGACGAGGACATTGCAAATTTTTTTATATCTCCTACTTCAAAATAACCTAAAGATTCTACAAATTCGTTTTTGATCATGTTAAAATACTATGTTAATATTCTATACTCCTACAATTTCGTCTGTTTATAGCTGTATATATACATACACACCCACACCCTCAACCCCCCATGTATATGAGAAGAGTATTAAATGGACTAAGAATTTCAGTTATAGAAGGAGGTTGGCGTCTGCAGAAACCTTAAAACATGTCTTTTATAACCGACCCAAGAAACAGATCTTTGGGTTGTCGAGTTCCCCCTTTGGTTGCTGCCAGACGCTAAGATAAAATCTGAGTTTTTATTTCGTATATAATTGGAATCTGCATGTTGTCTGTTGTAACACCTAACCGGGTTCAACAAAATTCCACTTAGAATCAAATTAAGGGGCTACATAGATTATGTGGGGTAAATTATCATCACTAGAATTTTTAAACTTATAAAGCAAACAGACACAGAATTAAGTTCACTTTAAATTTATTCTCCTTCATCTCTTGTGAGATTTTAGATAAAAATATACGAAAACATATTACCAGTTCCTGGACTTGGTTTAAACACAAACTTCTTTGAACATGCTATAAATTCAAACAATTTAAGCTAAGCCTACATGAGGCTACAAGCTTCGTCTACACCGAGACAGAAATTTAAATGTACAACTGACCAACCCAAATCTCTCCTTCCATTTTACCATTTAACTCAAGATACGCTTTAAAAGATACACAATACTCTTTATTCTGATTTAGACCTATATGAAAAAATGCAATTCATACAAAGTATGTAACGCAGGGGTTGCCACTTTGTTTCAGATTCCGTATTTGGAGATTACTGGGGAAAGAAATTATATATTTAAGAAATCGAAATTCTTGCAATGGACTAATGTTTACGCACTTATTGTTGCTGCAAATTCTATGATTATAGAGCGTAAAAAAATAAATTCCAATTTAAGAATGTATTAATTTACACATTCTTGTAGTAGGTAATCTATTTTGTTGAACATGAAACCCCCATATCAAATATCTTTGAATATATAAAAATTTCCTGAAACTAAATGATATCATTCTGTTAATAGGAAGAGCTTACAAAGCGTATCGTTTTTAATACATAATGCGAAAGCTTTTAGAACAATGCAAAGGAAAGTCTGCTCATATCTGTATGTTCGAATACACATTATTATCTTCATATTAAAACAAATGTCTTATCACGACAAACTGTAAATTTGCAAGTAACTTCACTTCTATTGTTTTAATTTAAATTGATGGATTTTTAACAAGAATATCATGAATGATAAAAAAGACATCGAAATATTTTTTTTCATTTAAAAAATGCCAAATTTTAGTCAATTACTAAAATTCATTAAATGAAAAAAAATTAACAACTGCTGCTGTAAAAGATTTCAAGGCCCCGAACTTTCTAAAATATTGATATTTCTAGAATTTTGAGAATTGATGCCACAAAAGGTATTGCTTAAAATAATGATACAAGTTAAAGCAGAGAGAGATACAAAATCCTGATTTTTAGAATAAATATTAGCCAAAATGTTAAGTCAGTAACAGAAGATACTTGGAAATAAAAAGCAGGCAATTAAGTTCAATTAATGATATTTTTAGACTATGAACCGCTAGAATTATGAACCGACTAAACAAAGTCTTATCTTAATGCTTTCCTGCATCTTAATAGCTCTGTAGTAGAAAGCAGCTGCATACTCAGGAAGGTCATGCGGGTTGCAGGTGCTAACAAACGCTTCATACAACACTGTAATAAGCAATGCGACATTTTATATTATAATTCACATGACTGTCTATTGTGGTTATTTTGTATGGTTTTTTTGTCTGCATATTGTATTATATTATTACATTTGCATCCGCTCTTTATATATTATTAAAAGGAAGTGGCTCTTTTGAAAAATGGGAGTTTTGAACATAACTGTAATAGGAATTAGTTTTAAATTTTATCATGTTTTAATATAAAATTTATAATAATTGTACTTTCAGTTTTGAAAGCACAATTTTTGGTTTCACATAAAATTTTTTGATATCATAAAAGTGAATTTCACGGTAAATAGCCGTATATATGTGTATTTACACATATAATACAGCGCGGCTCAAGCAACATTAATAGAAAGGAAAATATTATAATTTAAAACCTGAAAAAGATAAATAAATCAGACAGATTTAAAATAGTTCAGAAAATCAGCTTTATTCTATTAGATTTTAAATCTGTTTGCCAATTTCAACAGAATAAAAGTTGAGTCAGAAATATGGCTTTCCATCTTATGTAAAAGTGTTTCTGTATATTATAGAAGGATATGGTGATTGGCATAAAAACTTAAAGATTTCTTTTTCATTTTAAATGAGAATCACATAACTGAATTCAGGCGTTTTACCGAAATGGCGCTAAACTTTGTCAGATATCAAGATGCAATTTTATCGTAACATTGTAGCCGTACACTGTGGAAGTGGAGAACCAGCTCACTTACGACGAGAAGCATATAGAAATCGAAACCTCCTGGAAGGACTCACTATAAAATATTATATTAATAATCAAGAATTTCGAGTTATCCTGGTTCAAAAAACGCTAATTCAAATCACACATAATATCAAGGTAAATGAACACTACGAATCAGGTTTCAAAACTGCCAAGTTTATTCAAGTCTAACACACATTCAACTGGCTCTGCCAGATCCAAGCAACAAGAAATATAACATCATAAAAGATTTACGCCGTCTTTGGCGATTAAAATATATTTCCACATAAAATTTCTTACACACTGGGCCCGGCTGAACCGTAGTTCAGAACAATCAACATTGTCGGTGACATGAACATTTTCAAAAATCATTATGCATTTCAATACAAATTCAAGTTTTTGTAATCAAGAAATGTCACATAAATATCAAGAACATGTAAAACTTACCATATGTTTCAAGAATATCAAGTAAATTTTCATTCATCAAGGATTATTTTTCATAACATTCCTATTCAAGCATCAGGATTTAAATCAAGAATTTATGACTCGAGATAATATTAAACAAATGACTTTTCAAAATCAAGATTATCATAATTCAACTAAAATACTAGAATTATTACAAGAAACCTATCTTTTTTTCAGAATTAAATTAAAATTTTAAATACATTTCTACAACCTTAAAATTTTTTAATATATACATTTCTTTAAATATTAAATATACACTACTTTAAATAGCAATTAAATAAAATAGATATAACATTAGTAGCATTACGATTACATTTTCAATAAGAAATATACTATCATACAATATTAATACTCTTAGCACTCTAAATTTAGATAGAGGTAATGGTGCTATGGCTTGTCGCATTGATCGGGAGTTATAACGCTGACACAGTACACAGTTTCTTATAACACGTTTCACATTTTGTCTGGATCTAATTATCCAGTATTTTTCACGGAGGAACATGAGAGTACTAGCTACACCTGTATGAAGAACTCGTTCGTGTGCATCACGTACTAGAAGATCTGTAAAATGAGTTTTTGAAGGAATAATTATAGGATGCTTTTCATGAAAACTTAAAGTTGATTTTTGTAATCTTCTTCCTACTAACAAAACTCTTTCCTCACTTAGAAAAGGATTTAGTTCATAAATGTTTGAGTGTTTTGAAATCAACTGTCCATAATTTAAACTGTTAATTTCATCAGAAAAATGTTCATATTGAACTTCTTTTATCAAATATGATTCTG